CTTTCATCGTGACCACCAACACACAACCGCACCACCTGCTCGAAGTGGTCAACACCACCACCATTAACCCTCATCAGTTTTCTCTCTATCCCGTCACTGCGAGGACGACGAAACCCAGGAACTCTTCGGCGAGATTTTCTCATCTTTTCGGCTAGGTAAGCCTCGAGTTTTTCTCTATCTGTTTTAGATTGATGCGTGGACGAGATTATTGAGTGTTGTACTCGTTGTTGTCAAGGTTTTAAAATGATATCGGCTCGGGGAAACGAAAACCCATCTCCGACGAGCCCGTGTGTGTCAAGAGGTTTTCCGACCACCACCGGCCGTTTCACGGTGAACCAAAGGTATCAAATTACTCCTCTCACCTTGTGCTTCCTTTTTGTGCTTAGATTGTAGCCTAGAAAGGTGTGTGACTGTCGGCCCGGAGCTAGGGAAGCTCCGGCGTTGCTCCTCTATCGACACCCAAGCCTTTAGGCCCGTTAAGAATCCAGCCCAAAATCCTTTTTCATTTCATTTTTATTTTTATTTTAATTGTTTTAAAACCCAAAAGGCCTTTGGACTGTTTCCATTAGGGCCTTTGGCCCGTTGACCCAACCCTAAAAAGCTCTTTCGTTTGGGCCAGGCATTAAGCCTGGGCCCGTGTGAGTTAAAGCCCAGAGGTTAAGGCCTTAGGGCCTAATAGAACTTAGGCTTTCAGCCAAACCCTAAGTCCATTAACCCTAAACCCTTTTCCCTTGGGCCGGGTACCAGCCCACTGACCCAAACCCGGACCCTTTGACTTTGACCGTTGACTTTTTGGGTTTTCTTACAGGACCCTTCCTAGGCTAATTTCGACGTCCTGAACCCGTTTCCGACATCCATTTTCCCAAATTAAGTTTTTTTAGTAGAGTTGACTAAATGTACCCTTTATCTGCATAGGTGAAATTAATAGCGGCGTTCCGTTATTCTTTTTGGTATAGCTTTGCACTAACGGTGTACGGTGAGTGGACCCCTTCTAGAAAAGCATGATTTAACAATTATGTTCTATGAAGCGTTTTGAGATAACATGCTTACTGAGGCTATTTTGAATTATTACTATTTTTCCTATAACACGTGTTCTTTATACGATATCTGATGGATGACGATATAATATTTAGAATATGTTTCAAACACCTCTTATAGTATAGATGATGGATGACTTTATACTATGAAGTTGCTTTTCAAATATATGTATGTTCAATGGTTTTGTATTTACCAAGTGGCCCCAATTCCGCTACGGGGACGAGGGATAGATTCTAGTCTATCCTGGGCGACGGTTATGGTGTTGGCATAAGGCCTGAAGTGTTTTTCCTCTGGCTATTAGCACAGGGACGGGGAGCTGGCATGGGGTCTGGGAGTAATTTTCCTCTAGCTGTTTACACATAGACGGGGAGCCAGTATGGGGCCTAGGGGTTATCAGACATTCACTAGTGATTATTATATATACTAGTTATGATTTGAGACATTGCATGGCATGCTAGGTTTCGGAAAACCTATTTTATCATGTTATATGTGTTGTTATAAACCTGGGTGTTAGTATGTTGATAACTGTTTTATTTTATATATATATAAACTTGGTCCACTCATGTTTGTTTTGCGCCCCCTTTAGGACCTAGGAACGAGGATTACGATATGAGCTACGAGGCATTCCCCTACCAGTGATATCTTGCTATATTCTCTCTGCTTCGGCATCTTTTGTAATAGCACTTTTCTATCTTAAATTTCCGTTTGTACTATGTATTAGACGTATGCTCTGAACATGTCATTTATTATCTTAATATTAAATTATTAGCAGTTGAACTTTAGTATTGTGTTATTCGTCCTATTGCATGATTAGTCCCAATTTATATGCATGTTTAGCATGTTCCTCAGCAATTGCATAAATTAAATGGCTTTCGTCACCCTTCGGGTGTCGGCCAGCACGTAACCATCCCGATGTCCCAAGGACATCAAGATCGGGGCGTGTCACCTTCCCCCTAACAACTAATTGTTTAACCTACTAATGCTATCATATGTAAAAGAAAAGACAATTAAATAAGTTCGTGCAGAGGAGAAAATGAGTGTATAAAATGCTTTCCTTGGAATTATGGCTGAAGGAACACTTTCTTTGTTGTTTCTATTAAGAAGAAAAAATGAGTATATGGCCTCTATATGGTATGGAGGATTGAATTATAATGAATAAACAATTATTTTCGATGTATACGTTGAAAGAAGAAATGAAAAAAAATTGGCTATCTTGAAAGTACAAAATGAATTACTCAAGAATAAAAGTTATCACATCCAATTCTTTACAAAATGAGAATATTAGAAGGAAGAAGTTTATTTATGTCTTATCCTCTCCTAACCCTCTCAAAATTCACTCCTTAATAATATGTTTTAGCATTGAGGTTATCTCTTATAAGTTTTCTAAGTTTATAATCTATTTTAGCAGATAATATGACTCGGAAACGCTTTTGGTCACAGTGGGATTTGTTTAGCAGCTAGATAGCAAGTTTATAATCTCGTTTGTGGTCGACGATGCAATGATTCAACACACGTATATCACTTGTATTTGGACATCTTGTATTTAGTTGTTTGTTGGTAATAAAATTTTATCATTATCCAAAAAAAAAAAAAAAACAAGAGAGAGTGTAAGAGTCAAAGTTTGGTGTAAATTAAGAGAAATGATTTCAACGTACCTTTTTTCTTTCCTTATAAATCATTGTTTATATATGGTCCGTAGATTAAATAACTCAAATGAGAATCAACAGACGTAATTAAACAAGAAAAAATAGTGGATAAAAAAGTCAATGGATTCCTCTCTTGTACCAACTAACTATTTAACCAGCTAATGTTATCGTTCGTTACAAATATAAAAAAAAGACATTAACAAGCATGTGCAGAAGAAAAAAAAAAGTGTGAAATGCTTACCTTTGAATTACCGTTGAACAAGATTCTAAAAGTCGCTAGGCGCTAGTCGGGCGGCGGGCTGAGGCCTAGCGCCTAGGCGGCTAGGCGGGGCCTAGGCGGGCACCTAAGCGGACTAGGCGGATTTAAGTAAATCTATCATATTTCAAGTAAATAAGTGTTTGCTTCTACTTGAAATATATATAATTTCATCATAAACTACAAAATAGAATGCATATATATCATGAAGTATTGGAACATAATGAAAACATGTGAAATAAGGATATAATGTTTGTTCATTCGAGTATGCAACAAGTCTTTTACAATTTATTGGAAAAAAAAACAAAATGCAAAATGAAAGTTATGTATTTTTTGTTTAAGTGAGTTGCAACCTAGGCGGGTCTAAGCGGATGCCTAGACGGGCTAGGGGGGTGCCTAGGCGGGCTAGGCGGGTGCCTAGGCGGTCTAGGCGGTGGGTTGGGGCCTAGGCATTAATCGGGGCGGTGGGCTGGGGCCTAGCGCCTAAGCGGGGCCTAGGCGGCGCTAGGTGGGGATTTTTAGAACAGTGCCGTTGAAAGAAAACTTGCTTTCTCGTTTCTCTTGAGAAGAAAAATGAGTATATGGCCTCCATGTGGTATGGAGGATTGAATTAGAATGAATAAACAACTATTTTCAAAATATATTGAAAGAGTTTGACCCAAAAAAAAGTATATTGAAAGAAGAAATTAAAAAAAAAGTATATTGAAAGAAGAAATGAAAAAAAAATTGGTTGGCAGTAGAAAATAAATCACTCAAGAATAAAAGTTATCACCTCCAATTTTTTTCCGAAATGAGATGATTAGAAGTAAGAATTTCTTTGTGTCTTGTCCTCTTCTAATCCTCTTAAAATTCAATCTTCTATATCAAACGAACTCTAAGAGTATGCCAATTTACTCCTTGTACTTATATGTCACTCCTAATTTCCACCCTAAGCACAGTCAATTTAAATGGTTCACTGATTGTCACGCGACCAAAAATAAATGGAATAATAGATGAAAATTTTGGACGTGAAAAAAAGTGATTAAATAAAAAAAATTTAAGGGAGGTAGGGGTGGGTTCGGTTTAAATCGGTTCGGTTTTTTGCCAAAACCGAAACCAAACCGAAATTTCGGTTCGGTTTATTTTTTTTTCGGTTTTTTTCGGTTCGGTTTTTTCCGGTTCGGTTTCGGTTTTTTGTTTTTTTATATTTTTCAAAAAATGAAAAACATTGAAATTTTAAATTTTAACATATCCAACACAATCATAACATAAGCATTCTAACTAGAATCAAAGACAATGAAAATAAACATTTAAAGTTGAACTAAAATCATCAATCAAGTCTTCCAAAGTCCAAACTAACAACCTCACAATACAAAAATCGTACAAATGACTTAGAAAAGTTAAATTGTATGATGTTGTTCAAAGATCAAGGTTGTTTGCTTGTAATTGCATGTTGACAACTTGATTAGTAAAAGTAATGTGTGGGTAGATTTATTTAGTGTGTGTTGGAATTCTTTTCCATCACAAATTACCCAAGTAATCTACCCGAAATAAATGTTTATGGATTCTGTTACATGTTATATGAGAGTAGATTTGGAAAAGAAAGCTGGGGCAGAAGTAGACAGTGCTATGGAGATGGATGTTGGTACTTCAGGAGGAGGTTTAGTTCCGGAACCTTATATGGAGGAGAAATAATAGGTTAGGGTTTAGAGTTTTTATAGGCATTTTTTTAATATTTTGAGCTTAAAGTTTGGCAATTAGCACATTTTAACTTACAAATTGAGTTTAGAAAATAATACCCAAAACAAATAATTAAATAAAAAAATCAATTTAATTAATTCGGTTCGGTTCGGTTCGGTTCGGTTTCTAGATCACTAAAACCGAACCGAACCAAAAGAATTCGGTTCGGTTCGATTTTTTCAATTCGGTTCGGTTTTTTCAGTTTCGGTTCGGTTTGGTTTTCGGTTTTTTTCGGTTTTCAGTTTTTTGAACCCACCCCTAAAGGGAGGTAATTAACTAAAATAGAATTTAAATGTAAAAATTGACATATCCAATTTTCTTTTTTCATTTCATTATTTTCTTTCTAATTTTTATTTAAAGAAGAAAAGAAAAGCCCTAAACCCCCTTCTCTCTGTCTAGCACTCATCTTCGCTTGCAGCGGACCAGAAACCCAGCAAGCATTTCGACGAAGACATCAAAGTCAGAACCTCACTCCTCCGCTCTCAGCCCTCCCTTAGGTACCTTCTACGGTTCTACCATCTCCCACCTTCCATTGTTTTTGTTTAATTTGCTCATGATTAGTGCAATTTATTTAATTAATTAATAAGTATTGTTTGGTCTGTGAGTTTCTGTGTAAGTATGAAAAGGGTTCCTTTATCCTAACCCAAAATCTTGAATTGGATCTACATCTTTGAAATAGCTTGAAATCTCATAGCTTTCTGAAAATTTCTCTCCGAAACCAAAACATTTGAATTGGGTCGAGGCTAAAACTTTTAATTGTATTAGTAATTCAATTTTCGTTACGCAGTTTCATGAAACAAATCAAATTGCTAGTCTTGCTTTCCTTTGGCCCTGTGGGAATGGAAAGATCTCGAAATGTCTGTCGAATTTTCGGTTTGAGTGATACAGGACATGGCGGGCGGGACAGAGAGTTAGGAGGTTTAGCTAAATTGCTTACATGCCCCAACATGAAATAAAAAATATGGTGAAAGACGAATCGATATTGGATACGTGTCTTACTTGGAAGAATGCATCATAATGTTGCAGTCATTTATGTCCTTCATTTTTCCATAGAATTAGTATATAAGGTGGATTGTTGAATATGTGAAGTGACTAGGTCTTGGCATAAACTAAGGTATGTTATTAGTGTTTTTCAAGATTTAGTATACTTTGATTGTATAGACAATGAGGTATGATGCAACGTTCAAAGTATGAATACGTGTCGAAGATAATTCTGACTTGTGATATTGTCTTCAACATTGAATAAAAGCACTGTTAATCAAGATTTAAATTTTTGAGTTCATTGTCCGGAGATAAATTCTTGGTTTCACCATTGTTTGCTTGGCTGTTGTTGAACTGGTATTGCTCCCGTCTCCTGAGCTGATTTCTTTGTTAATTTTTCATGTTTTAAGCATATTTGCCGGTTGGTTTTGGTTTATTTTATTGTGATAAAAGGTGAAGAAGATGCCATTGGGACTAATACTAGGGTTAGGAAGGGCATTTCGTCGAAAGCGAACGTCATCACTTGACATTCTTTCCTCCAAACGTGCCCCTAGGGATTACTACAAGGGGAAGAATTGCAAGCCTACTGGTTTCCACACCCGAAAAGGTTTTCCCCTTTTGCTTTTTTGCAAATTTGACAATGTGCTCATTCAGTTTTTAAGGTAAAAATTACTATTTGACATGTTTTTAAAATTGTCTAAATTTTTTTCAGCTAAGTATGTCGTGCAGCAGGAGAAATTGCCTAACTATGTAGTCCCAGATTTAACCGACTTCAAGGTGAACATGTTTCTGTTTCTCTTACTTTGTTTCATTTTTTTCTCATTCTCATAAGTGCCTTCGCCCTTGGTGCGATGGCAAGTGCCTTCGCCCATGAGCGGTAGGTCTCGGGTTCGAGACTTGGGAGCAGCCTCTCCATAAATGGGGGTAAGGCTAGCCGACATTCACCTCTCCCAGACCCTGCGTAAAGCGGGAGCCTTGTGCACTGGGTACGACCTTTGGTAATATTCATCTTTAAGTTAGAGCTTCCGGTTGGAAGTTCACTGATACACTTTGCAGCTTGGTTGACATGCTTCAACTATGCTATTTTAATGAATACATTTGACCAATAAGTGAACAATTTACTCCTCACTCTCATAAGTGCACACATGTAGTTCTAAATTACGTTTTTCCGTTCTTGCATGCAGCTCAAACCATATGTATCTCAGTGCCCCAGAGAGGTCAAGACTACTCAGTCTGCTGAACCAACTAAATGAGCAAACTGAGTTGCTAGTGTTTGATCTTTTCGTTTATTGTTCTAATTGTGAATTAAGTCGTTCCTGTTGATATATTTTCTAGTAGGGATCGATGTTAGACTGCGAAGAGGTTATATTCTTGTTTGGCATTGGCAGATTCATGCCTTGGACGTGTTAAAAAGTAATAAACTTTCTAGCATTGCTTTATATTGACTCAACTAAAACCTCACCGGACTAAGTTCCATCACGAAGCCTGTGGTGACGGATTGATGTCCGAGAGTTAGCTGATTCATCTGTCACCATTTTGCTTCACATTAGATATGAGCCAACTGTGTTATCCAAGGGTCAGGGCCGGAAGATGCATTTTTTTGCTAAAATTATGACACCCTACTTTTGGTTGGACTTTTGGAGGTGTTGAACTTCTAAGATTTATATCTTTTACTTTGCATAATTACGTTTCCTTTGAAATAATATAACCCTTGTCATCGAAACACTCTACCAAGTATCATATAACACATGATTACCCTTTCGTCGTTTTCAGTTTTCTGTTTTTATTTTCAATTTTTTGAAAACTGAAACTGAAAGCTTATTTGATAACAATAATGAAATGAATCGTTTTTGTTTCTGATAGCTTGTTTGGTAACAGTTTTTTTATTTTGTTTTACCTTTCAATAAATTGTTGTCAATTGCGCGATTCGAGCACAGGTCAACGACTCATCGTGATAATCTCAGGCACCGGTGCGCAGCTGATGTTACACTAGCTCGTCTCATACAAACCTGTACAAAGAAAGACAACGCCAGAACAGGTACCGAAAGAAATTTGAATAGGAACAAATAAAACATTTATTCGGAAAGAAGCTAATATCCGGTATCCCGCTAAGCCAACTCGAAAAATTTAGGTCACCGGCAGAGAAGCTGTGACATTCACAGCTGTTTTCTTTTATGATACAAATAGCAGAGTACACAGGAGTTGATAACGCAATTGCCCAACCAGAAAGCCTATCCCCTACAAGTACTAATACAAAACCATTCACCTACTACATGTACTAAAACAAAGGCATAATCGTTCCGACTACAAACTGGTATAAAATTTGCAAAAACTTGAGCTCTCATTGCAACCACGAAAATTTGGCTCGGTAGTGCAAAGAAAAGGGGAAGAAATATCTGTAAAGCAAACAGAATCATCCAGTCCAGAACCTGAGAAGGCCGAGTTATACCTTCATCAGTGTCGAACCATTGTGGGTGACAACAGCCATCTCTTACCTCTAATATTCACCCAGACAAACAGAGAAACTCCTAACAACCACACCACTGAGTTCTTACTTCTTCCGGGGCCTGTTGTGTTTAACTTTAATTATTCTTCGGTGAGACTTGTCACCATCACCACCACTGGAGCCAACTGAGAAGCTTCCCCCTAACCCCTGATTCGCACCCAAACTACCAGAAGCCTGAAATGGGTTAGGGTTCTGTGAGTTGGTTAGGTTCTGTTGGCCTGCAAATTGGAAGGGACTCGCCGCTGGGGCTGTGGGTGTACCTCCAAATACAGAGGCAGATTGTGAGTTTAAAATCGGCTGTTGACCAAACTGGAATTGTTGACCAAAACCTGGGGCTGTAGGTGTCGATGCCTGGTTAGTGTCTTCAGCCATACTGTCTTCCATGTTCATTTGATCAGTATTACCTGGGGAACCAAATGGAAATACAGGATTGGAGTTGCCAAATGGAGGCTGTGACGGGGCACTAGTAGGTGCGGTTGAAGTGAATGAGAACATGGAAGTTGAGGATGCACCATTGGATGACCGAAACAAAGATCCACTGTTGTTATTTGTAGAAGAAACCGTGGATCCTCCAAAAGTAATAGGCGCATTGATAGTAGTAGCAGCGGCAGACGAGGATCCTCCAAATACAGAAGGCACATTGTTAGTAGTAGCAGCGGCAGTCGAGGATCCCCCAAATACAAAAGGCACACTGTTAGTGCTAGTAGTAGCAGCAACGGAGGATCCTCCGGATATAATAGGCGCACTGTTAGGCACACTGTTGGTAGCAGGAGCAACGGAGGATGCTACATAAGAAAGCCCAGTTGATGAAGATGTAGAGTTGAAAGCGGTGGCAAATACAGGAGATTTACCAGGTTGCCAACTGGCAGCAAATACGTTAGGGGCAGTGCTAGAGCTAATGGAGCTGGGCTCCAATGAGGAAGTAGAAGAACCAAGAGCAGTACCAGTTCCTGAACCAGGGAGTTTGGCAGTAGAGGTTGGGCCAAAAATAGAACTTCCAATAGAGAAAGGTGTACTTCCCGCAAAGCCGTGTGACAGTGAGGATGCTGACGAACCAGGTTCAGTGGATGAATTCTGTGCACCAGATGCAATTCCAGTTGCAGTAGATGATGCCTGGGCAATAGAAGCAGATCCACTGCCAGTACCAAAAAGAGTGCACTGGAACTGGTTAGCAGCACTTGGAATGGCAGCAGATGTGCCAGCAAACAAAGTGCTGCTAAGATTACCAAGGCCTTTGTCTTGTGTGTTGTTGCCTCCAAATGTTTCCTTTTTCTTGCCTTCAAAAGATTCCAAGGGCGAATTTAGTGGAACTGGCGTGACTGCAGTTGAAGCAGTAGGCAATTCAAATTTGACCATAGGCATGGTTGAAAATGAAGGTGCTTGAGCCAAGCTAAAACTGTTGCTACTGTTGATGGTGACAGCAGTTGTAGCGATAACACTGTTTGTATTGGCAGTGAGACTCATGCTACCCGATGAATTTGGACTTGTCAAATTACTGAATACTGAAGGAGCAGAGGAAGTAAATAGAGGGCTTGACCCATTATTCATATTTGAATTACTGGAAGGGGTGCCAAAGGAGACTATGCCTGTGGTTGATGGTGCAGATGGAGATGATACAGTAGTTTTAGGTATAACAAAAGAGTCACCAGCATTTGAATTACTCTTACCAACAGCTTCACCTGGTCTTTGTGGTTGGACAACAGTTGTTGCACCAGATTCAACAGCATGTACACTGCAGATGGAAACATAGATAAATTAAATAATAAACTTTTTGGCAATACATAAAAAAATCAGAAAGTCACCCATACATGAATAGGATTTCCACATGATACCGCTGATATTTTTTTATAGAAAAATACTATTTTAAGAAAACTAGAAAACAAGCTATTTTTTCGTTGTTCGTTGAATAGTTGTATCAATTACAACACATCACAGAAGCAACCCCTCAATCCCATTTCCAAACCTAACCATTACAATTTGAAACTAAAGAAACAAGCTATACTTTTGTTCATTCAATTGTTGTATCAATTACAACCGATCACAGGAGCAACCCCTCAAACCCATTTCCAAACCTATCCACCCGCTCATTAATAATGATCAATCTGGTTGGCGACAAAAGTAAGAACTATGAAAGCTAACTGCCTTCACCCCTAGCAAAGAAGGTTATAGTTCTGAAACTTTTAACAAACATTTACAGGCAGTGTGCGTACACAGTATTAAGTCATACCACCCTCAAGGTCTTTGGATATACAAATATTCAGACCAAATGAAAGGCAATAAAGCAGTTTCATTCCATTTGTCCCTTCAGAAACTTGGTTTTTCTATACACTTAAATCTCCACCTATTTTTTTATAAAAGAAAACAATAAGAAAAATAAATAAATGCAACAGTCAAGAACCTCAACGATGCTTTTCATCAAAACATAAAGATTAAAAAGAAACAAGCGATTTAATACACTGACCTGCTTGAGGCTTCAGGATTGGAGTGTGAGAAAGTTACGTTGACAGATTCACCAACTGCAGGTGATGAAGTAAAAGTAGACTCTGGCAATGCAACTTTGTCAACACTCTTAGAGCCAAACTCAAACAGAGAAGTAGCTGCATCTGAACCCTTAACTGAAGTAACATTACCCCCATAGTTAAAAGTGGGAAGACCAACATGTGATTCTTTCCGGAGATCAACTATATCATATGTAAAGGATGGCTGAGTAGCTACAACATTGGGCAAGCTGGATGAAGATACAATAGGGGAAGATGATGTCTTCACTTCAGAGTAAACAGGAGTATTCTTGGTCGAAATTGCCTCCGCCTTTCCTCTTGAATCGGATGCAACCCCATTAGAATCATCATCATCGTCCAGATCCAGAAAATCCTGCATACCATACCCATAATGTTCAAATTAATTATTTTGAAGTCATATGAATATGCACAGAAAACCAAACATAATAATGAACATTAATGATTTTAAGTTTCCTAAAATTTCAGATAATATCAATCTAGTAAGAATTTGAATTGAAACTAATGGAATCAAAATTGAATTTGTAATAGAAATTTTAAATAAATTATTATTTCAATCTGTATTTATGTCTGTTATTAACATATGATAGGGTTTAAATACCATAAAACTATGACACCGGTTTAATCAATTTGATCATTGGCACTGAAGACCAAGACAGTCAAACGCTTATTATGAATGTTCATGAACTTCTAGCAAAACTAAACAGCTAGATAATCTTATGATTCAAAGGTACAGCCCCTCAGTAGTAAATTTTATGATCAAATTGAAACCCAAACTAGTTATTTCAGGTCAAATTCCAGAGTAGTAGAAAGAATAAGCAAGATAATCAAGAACTTAGCAGAAATAATTGAGAGAAAAAAGCGCAACTATACCTCTTGTGCGCTCATCTTGAATGCCCGTTTCTTTTGTGGAGGATGAACGGAGTTTGATGTGGCAGATACTGTAGTTTTAACATTTTGCAAAATATCCTTCTTTTCTGTTGCAGAATCTGCTCCATTTATTAGTATAGTTGAACTGTCAGAAAGAGCACCGATCCTAAGTGGGCCATTTTCTCTAACCTTATCCTGCTTTTGAGAGGTGAAGTCTTGAGCATCTGGTATCACGTGATCAGTGGAAACATCCAACTTAGAATTACAATTATTATTATTATTATTATTATTATTATTATGTGCATTGTCCAAAAATTTTGAAGAATCCACATGATCCAGGCTTTTCAGAGCCTGACCGTGTAGCATTGATGGTGAAAGCTTAGTTGGCGATTTGTCTCTCACAATATGTAGATTGGACTTAGATGATTTCTCTTTTGGAGAGACCAACTTATCAAGCTGCTCAAGTATTTTGGAAGCCATTTCACTGGACTTTGAGGGAACAGTAGAGAAACTTGTACTAGGACCTGCATTGTCTCCATTTTCTGATAATGCTTTATGCTTAGGTTCACCCAATGATAGTGGCTTCCACAAGTTTTGAACAGACTCAGAACTTATTGTGGCCCCAAGAATTGTAGTGCTTGATACCGGTGAGCTCAAGCCTCTAGAAGAAAGAAGATTAGGTTTTTGACGAATTCTGCGAATGGGACCAACAGATCCTATGTCACTGTCTAAGACTGAAAATCTGCGCTTCGAGGCCTACAAATAAAAAAAAACAATTCCAAATGACATGAATCTGGAGGTTCTAATCACAAATAAAAAGTAGCATTTGATAATCATCAGATATCATACCCCTTGTTTAGATCCAGAAGGCTGGCTGTGCTCCCATACAGACTGAGATGATGATGCACCACCATAAGCATTAAATGTAGACCCAGCACCCTGAATACAAGCAAATACAATGTAAGAGCCGGAAACTATAAACATTATGTATTTTTGTTAAAAGAAATGCTTGTATTAAGATCAAGAAACCAACAAAGAAGCTGGTCAAGAAGACCAACCCAGAACACAGCAAACAAACAAAAATTGGAAAATGAAGACATAGAAAACACCCAGCACAATCAGCTGAGAAAACACCTAAAAGACTTTAAGAGGATAGCCGCCTTCTGGTCTTGCATAAGCACAAGGAGAGATTCCCTGAACTATGAGGAAAAGGAAGCTGGCAGAGAGGGAGAGAGATTCTTTTTTTTTTGTTTTTTTTTTTTTTGGGTATACAAAGATCATTCTATTTCTCTCCATCCAAATGACCCAAATTGCTGCATGGAACATACAACCCACATGACCTTGGCTTCTTATCCTTCCAAAGCAAAGCATGACATTCAACAAGAGAGAATTTTTGGGATTACACAAGTGAATCCAAGTAAACATTCAAAAGGCCTTTGAACAATTGGGGTCTTTGGGAGGCAGGAAACTTTAGCAAATGGCTATAGGTACCTTGAACAATTTAATCTTACCCCACATTGGAACAAACCAAAGGCCTAATCACTCAACTAAACCGATATTATTGAAAACTATATTCTCAGATCAAACAAACCTTGAAAGTAGTTATCGTGTGAACTCGAGAGTATGGCGTTCGAGCCATGCTGTATATAGCAGACCTGCCTCGAGATCTAGGGGTCACAAAACCATTTGGTGGAGCTCCCTCACTGCCAGAATTCCTTGGCACAAGTGACATCATTGACGATTTTGAAGGAAATGGTACACTGCTCAAAATAGGTGAATCTTCATGGTGTGTTTGACTACGCAAACCTAACATTGATGGAGATACTTTTGAAGGCCTACTGCCCATGTAAGCTTTTGCGAGCTCTGCAGGAGAAGCAACATCTTCATCAAGGACCTGAAGACATTTTAACCACTAAATGTGAAAAAAGAGTTAAAAGTAAATATGACATCCAAACTACCGTTTCACAAATAGTTAAAATTAAAGAGTAGCAAGCACAAGACCACGGCCTTCACAACCTAATGAGTCAAAGTATATGAATGGAAAGTAAGTTATCATACACTTGTACTAACAACAGGGTTTGAAGCAAGGCGGCTATCAATCCCATTTTTGTCCAGCAATGGAGTTTTAGGAAATTCTTCCTTTCCGTCATGAGAAACTGCCGATTTTGAAGGTATTCCTTCAGACCTTTTCTCAAGATTCTCAATTGGCATGTCAACAGTTCTTGAATGCAACAGCGCTGTCAATCGATCAATTTCAGATCTGTAGAGGTAATTAACATTCAACACCAAGATAAGCACATGTTCCAAGAAAAGAAAAAAGTTCTAAGCCCCAGAAGTGCCATGGATGAAATCATAAATGCACAAGTCTTACACCAAACCCATTCATCAATTACATTCAAATCACACACACACACACACACTCCCCCTCTCTCTCTCTAAAACATCATTCCCATTCATCAATAGTACTTGAATGTAATAACACTAAGTATATAACAACTTGACTCGACCAAAATTGAATTATGTATAATATCAACTTGCCTGGTAAAGGTTTTCTGCTCTAAAATTTGCTGAAGATCAGTAAGCTTGCCTCCGTCATCAGTAGTACTTGGATGACTTGGATCGGAACATTGATCAATTGTGCCCTTTAGCACTCCAGAAAGATCCTTTACAGCATACATTTACATACAAGATATTGTCAAAATATGATATCAAAATCATAAAAATAAAATGATTAAAAATCTATGAAATGAATTTAACTGAAAATTGTTCTACTTGAAAATATATAATAACATCCCATCATAACTCAATCAAATTAATATTTACACGTCGGTGGTAAAATTACAAGGAATACTGAGCAACAAAAAATGTGGATGTATGAAACATGGACTACTACTCTTATACCAAAGAGTAAAAATGTGAATAAATGGTTTATTAAGGATACCAAGTTTTTAAGGGCAATTAGTTGTTCCTTAATAATGTCCTCTAACCTAACTTTGGCAGTGTATAAAGCCAAGAAGTGCACTTGCAGGAAACTTGAGATGTCCCCTTAACCCTAAAAATTATTCTAAGACGCACTCAACATAGAGGAAGATCAGGGTGCCAAATATTTCCCATTACCTAAATTTCGAGTCTAAACAATGGGAGGGAAAAAAAAGTTCACTATGCTCGTAAGTTATAATACTCAAACACAGGGACAAAGAAAGATCCAAGTATCATATACTGCTTAAAAATCATAGCTCCAAAAAGAAATGATGCAATCTCATCTAAAAACACGACGTTTAATAAAACAATTAGAATATAGCTTACTCCCAATCACTAAGGGCAATGCCCTATCAGTGAAAAAAAATACAATTATCCAACACACTTAAACTTACCATTGTAACTTCTTTCTCCTTCATATTTGCTTCATGATTTACCCCTGATAAAGTAATAGAAGACTAAATTCGTGAGTAGCTAGTAAAGAAACCAATAAAACAGTCAGAGTCTTGAGCTCAGATGAGAAAGCAGATATGAAAGTTTTTTATTTTTTCGAAAAGGGCCAAGAAGAAATTTCTCAATGGCTAATCATAATTTTTTTTTTCTTTTATTAAAAATGAGGGCATCTATAACAAGTACCAAGGCATACAAGATAACATGGACATAAACGCAACAACTGTGAGAGTAAATTAGTTTGACAATTCCCTTGCATTCAAGAAACAAAGGAGCAACCAACCAACTGAAATGTAAAGTCCATTGACCACTGAAAAGGGTGCATCCTTCAAAGAAAAAGATACGAATTATTATTTTTTTTTAATTTTGAAAAATTAATAAGGATGATACAGTACACAAATAAAGTGAAACAGTAATTAAGAAAAAGATCATCAGGGGATTTCAGAAAAGATATCAGAGACTGTATCAATGCAAAAGATGACCTACTATCAATCAAGCTCACTCTTACAAGTACTTCTTAATCCTACCAATTCACAAGCGAAAAAACAAAAACCAAAACCAGCAGTGAATACAAGGTGGAGCAAGGATTCTCTGTCTACCTCCTACCAAAAATAAAGGATCCAAATGTCTTCCTAATAGTGTAACTGTGCATGTATTATTTGGAATTCAGAAGACCAACTTGAATTTTGGATTCCTTCGATTGCAATTTCAAACATCTTTCATTAAACATAAATGAATTTCCAGTTTTTTCTTAAGGCACCACAATTATTGTAATAAAAACAATGAATTCGAAATCTTTATAAACCTAGCTCCAAATCAATAAAAAATTTCAAGGAAATTAACCTCATTTCATTCCGCAGAACAAAAACTGACCCCAAACTCAACCCCCACAAGCTGACCCATATGACAAATTGCTAAAAACAATGAAATAAAATAAGGAAAAACATAACAAAAGGCGTCCCAAGTAACGAAACGTCGAAACCCCAACTCCCCATTAAATGATTAAACCCAAACAAAATGCCCTGGAATAGTAAACAAAGGTAGTCACGAAAGCAGCAAAGCCGAACCTGTAGAAGGCGACTGAGGCGGAGGAAGGCGTTTGCGAAAGACGGAGGAGAAGAGGCGGTGGGCGCTGGTAGAGATGAGACGCTGAGCCGGATCGACGAGTTTCAAGAGCCAGCCATCGTTGGCGGCGCTAGGGTTTCGTAAAGTTGTTGGTGGCCGATCATAGGGTGTCGCTTGGGTGGTCCGTCGAAACGGCGTCTTCCGGAACTTTCCACCCGCACCCAATCCTTCGTATGCCTGCTTCTGCTTCTCTTCCCGCGCGGGCGACGCCATGAGAGAGAGGAGAGAGAAAGAGCACTGGGGTTCAAAATTTTGTGGGGGGCTAGAGAGAGAAAGGGATGGGATAGCAAATTAGGGTTTTTAATTGCACCGCCCAAGAGTATGGAAATGAAAGGGGTCAATTTGATATTTAGCAAAATATGTTGGGGACAGGGAGAGAAGTGACAGAAATATGGGAGTGAGAATTTTTTTTTTATATTGGAATTTTTTTTTTTACCAGATGGAACGGGTTTTTTTTTTTTTTTTTTTTTTTTTTTTTTTGAACAAGGAACGATAAATTATTTGACTGTATTATTCGAGAAGTAAATTCATATTAAATACCAAATTGAGTATAAGTTTTAGGAAGCTCTAATGAAAATGACTTAACCAAATTTTTCTTAACAAAAAAAAAAAAAACCTAATAACTTTATTTAATGAAAAAGACTTAAAATTAATGAGAACCAACAACAACTAGGTCTTATCCTACTAAGCATCATTGCACTAGATTTTGCACCAAATCCTCTGTTAGCTTCAAGTACTTCATCTATTTAGTTATTAAAATTTAATGAAATGACTTGAAATTTGATGAAAATGACAAAATTTTAATATAATAAGAATAAAAAATGAAATGGGCTTACGCACACATACCCACCTTTCTCTCCCACACTGATTCACTATGTCCCTATATATGTCTATATCTGCACCTATTACCATCTTCTCTCTCTTCACCCATCAACCTCATACTTCTCTCATCTTTCACCCATCACCATCATCTCTCACTTTCACCCATCACCATCTTTCTCACATATCTCCCCCTTAGATCAACTCCAATGGTGGGCTAAAAATCAAATTACCCCCCAAACCCAATCCAACCTAAGGGGAAAATTTGGGCTAAATGTTAAACCAATGCTAGATTTCCCCCAAAATTTAGCCCAGAAATCGAAGTGGGCTCCACCGAACCTAGTGAAAAGGGGCATTTGTGCGCCAAACACAGCCCACCCACTCACCCAACTCGTGCGACGCGCGACGCCTCAAACAGCGAGGGCCCCGCCCATGTGGGCATGTCGGCCACGTTCTGCAATGCCTCCAACAGCTACTTCCATCCAACGGTCACAATCTACAAGCCGTTGGTTAATCCAATGGCCTAGATTCAATTTTTTTTATATTTATATATTATTGAATCCAACGGCTGAGATCGAATATAATCAAATCTAACGGTAAAAAAAAAAGATCCAACTGCCCAAATTTAAATCCAACGACTAAAATAATTAAAAAAATTTATTTAACTCAAAATTCACCCAGGGTTGAAAGATTGGTGAAAGTTGAAGGCTTGTTTTATGGAAAATTTAGTGATTTTTTAATATTTATTGGAATTTAAACTTTTTTAGATTAAAATGTTCTTAAAATTAATTTACAATAGTCTACATATATTTTTTTTAATTTAATTTAACAAAAAATTAGTCTAAGTTCATTCTTTAATAATCCTGGGCTAAAATTTTAGGCCGAAACGGTTGGAGCAGAAAAACTATTTCTGGGCTAAAAGCTAAATTTTTCGGGCTAAAATATTTGGCTTTTAGCCCAACCATTGGCGATGGTCTTATGTCACTCCTTCCTCCCTCTTTTTTCTTTTTTATACTTTGTTATGTATAAAATTTAAAAATTAGTCATATTTTTCAAGGCATAATAACATAAAATTTTATCACATGCCAAAATTCAAAAAAATTATTATCTTAAGACAATCTCCAACCCTTAGCCTAAAACCTAAAATTTTTAGCCCATAAAATTTAGGTTTTAACCCAAAAACAGCTTTTCTGCTCCAACCCTTCTGGCATAAAATTTTAGCCCCAGATTATTAAAGAATGAATTTAGACTAATTTTTTTCTTAAAGTAACTTTTTTAAAATAAAAAAATTATGTAGACTATCCTAATTTAATTTTATGAACAGTTTAACCTAAAAATATTTAGATTCTGACAAATACTGAAAAATCACTAACCGAGACCATGAAACTCGTTAAACACTATGAAAAAAATATGAAACAAATGAAAGATTTTTTTTTAATTATTTTAACCATTAGATTTAAATTTGGACGGTTAATTTTTTTTTTTACCATTGAATTTCATCAAATTAGATCTTAACTGTTGGATTCAATGAATTTATAAATATAAAACTAAATAAAATATATATATATATGGTGGGCCAGCCCCACTAATCCTAGGCTAAATTTGGCTTCCATTTGAGTTTTAGGTTTTAGGCCATATTTTAGCCTTGGGTTGGGTTGAGTTTTGGGGGGCGGGGGGGGGGAATAGAAGTGGAAATTTGAGTTTTAACCCAGGGTTAGCCCAGGGTTAGTGAAGGCCTAATACAAAACAAAACACTTAAAAAGATTTTATTAATAAGAAATATTGTTTCATAAACATTATATTTTCTATAAACAATGGTCACTATTTTATAGAAACAGTGTCATTATTTCTAAAAACAATGGTCATTATTTCTAGATGGTGACACTATTTCTAAAGACGACCACACTATTCTTAGAAAATGGTCACCATTTCTAGATAGTGACAATATTTTTAGAAGTAACACTATTTCTAGAAACAACGACATTATTTCTAGAAATTGTCACTATTTCTAAAACCAATGGTCACAATTTCTAGATAGTGATACTATTTCTAAAAGTGGTGGCACTATTTTAGAAAATTAACTTACGAAATTGTATTATTTTAAAAATGTTAACAAACAGTTAAGTGTTCTTCATGGCTAAAATGTCCCATTATTTTTTGGTGAAGCTTGTGACCCCAATGGGGGCTGCCGGATTTATATGTAGATAATTATATTATTTTAAATGTGTAAATGACATATTTAATTATATTGCAGTCATTGTTTTAGAGAACATAGAGTAGAGTTTAAAATATGGACCTCAAGGTTTATTGATGGAGGTGTTGCTTTTTGTACTAAGTTAGAGTTTTTTTGTAAGAAGAACAAAAAGAGCCAAAGAGAGGGGAAAGAGAGAGGAATGTGGGGTTTTCTTGTAAAAAGGACTAATAATTTGGAAATTTTTTTTTTAAAAAAAATGTACAAGGAAGAGAGACATGTGGGTCCGTAACCTTTTTGTAAGATTAAGACAATTGTTTGTACCATACTTGACTAATCCCGAAACTACGGAGCACCGGTTGATGCGAAAATTAACTTAACACACAAATTAAACCCTATTTTGACAATTATAGTATATATGTAAGTAGGGATCGTTCTTAAACCGGGGATTATGAGATTGCTAAAACACTTTAAATTGACTCAAATAGATAAAACTAAGCTTTAAAACACTTAACTAGACTTAAAAGACTCAAAACAAGTTCACAAGACTCAAAATAAGCTCAAAACTGCCTAAAACACACAAACTGGGCAGTTTCTGACTCTAAACACAAATTTGGACGAATTTTAGTTTTTCCTTGACTTAAAACACTTAAAAACACAATCTAAAACAGATCCTAACTAGTTAGACACTCTAAAGTAAATGGGGATTTGGTTTTGGATGAAAATAAAGTAAACAAAACAAGAACTAAAACTTGGCAGATTTGCATGAATTTGGTGGAATTAGATGGATGATGGGCTAGCTAGGAGGTCTTTCTCCACACATGACACACTTGTATACAAAACAAGTTCCAGTTGCTTTTTCAATGAACCATGAACCTCAACACCCCAAGTTAATTAGGTACGCTTAAATTAACTCTCAGATTTTCCTTAAGTCATTGAATTGAATTGAATTAGCGCATTGCATTCAAATTATTCCTCAAAAGTTCCCTACATGAAAGCGCATAATAGAGAAACAATCAAAGATCATTAAGTTCTATGAAAATCATAAGTGTTGACAAGGCATTCGTAACTATGAAAGCGCATGATACTTATGCCAGGAATTTACTTAACATGATTGTGACTAACAACCTTCACTACTTATGAATATAAGTTCATAACGATTAGGTGAAACTCCCTTATATCCTAGCATCAGATTTATACATGCAAATTAAGTGTGCACTCTCAACTCACATACATAAACAAGTTTTAATTCAAACAGATAAGTAAATTGAATTCACAATTCATAAAATCACAACTAGATGTAATCAAATCATATTGCAAATATAGCCATGGTTTCGAAATTCCCTCTAGCTAAGAGGGGTTTAGTTCCTCATACTCACAAAACAAAGATTATTGAATTTAAACATTGAAAACAAAAGAAAGATTACACCTAAACGTTCCAACAACTCCAACTCGAATGGCAAGCACGTCCAAGGGCTCTCCTCCTTCTTCCTTGCTGCGGCACAAGGTGTGATTGGTGTATTTGGGGGTGATGGATGGTGTATTCTTGTTTAGGATGATGAATGATGGCTGATGAGGGTGAAAGGTTGCGGCTGAATGTGTATGGAATTGTATGAATCGCAAGAATGGTGAAGGTGTTGGAAGTATGCCCACAAAGCCACTCATTTGATGTAATAGCTTTTTGGAATACTTATTATGTTAAACTTTTATATGTTTAATGGAGGGCAAATCTTATTGTTAATCACTGTTTATTGTATCATGTGTTTAAGCAATAAGTGAATCCAAGGAATGTATTTGTTCTAAGAGATAAGTGATCTAAGTGAGTTAGATTATCGAGACCTTTCTCTTATGTTCATTCCTAAAACGTTCCTAGCCATAGGATTGCCAATTGGGCATTGACAATCCGTTAAGGTTAGTATGTGTTATGTTGACTCAAGTGTGAGTATGACTAGTCTCAAGTGATTTTGGTGTTGGACACTAAGACAGACACATAGGTGCTCGAAATAGTAATCGAGTACACTGGACTACGATCAAATCAGAGTTTGAACATACATGTCATGTAAGAACTCTAAGGTTGCAATATGCAAAGTAGTCCTTTGACCTGAGGCATCATAGATGTCTAATGGTTAGGTCCTTGATCTTTGATCCTGTCAACGGCATTCCCTCGGAGTGTCCACGGCATTGTTGGGGTCAAGCTATCTAGTCATGTAGGCATATGAATGTACAACAAGGGATCTCTAACCTTCCATGGTGGAGGGAGAATACTCTAAGATATGATTCTAAAGTCTTTGGCCAAAGCAAATGA